CAACTAATTGTAACCTCAGTTAGCCTAGTTAGTAATGGCATTTTGGTTATTGATTTTAAGATTCAAACAAAGGACCAAAGTTTAGTGATTATTTTTGCATGCTGAATGATCTAATTAACACCGCTGTTTGATGATGATCGATCTAAATGATATTACAAATTGACGTGTTGTTTACTTTTTGACTTTCAGATACATGAAATGAGAGAAGATGCGATGAAGGCTGATTGAAATTGGGAAAACCCATTAGCAATTTCATTTTCGGCGGCTTGCAAAGAAGGATAACAACGAACACGGTGTGATCCCACCCGATGTAGTTCCAAATCATTCAGATACTCCAGCTCCGTTACCGTTAAACTTTTATCCACCCATTTCCAAAAAACTCCTTTCGCCACGAGTCTCGTTTTCTCTTTTTCTAAACGGCTCTCTTTTTGAAGTAGTGATGATCTTTTTGATTTACGGTTTAGTGACTTTGCAGTCAAAAAAATGAGCTGTGTTTGTTCACATCGACTGATACTGAGTGGTTGCGGTACAAGCACATATCGTCGATAATAGACGATTGTTGTGTATCAGAGAACACTTGCGCAAAAAGACTAGGGTGGGGAACGGATTCGAAACTCAAATGTCATTAGCCAAATACATCCGTAGACCATAGGTCCACCGTTGTATAATTGGCAATGCATCCGTGTACTGAATGGGAATTGTGGGTTCGAATCCCACCGGTGCCTTTAGATTTTTTCGCAAATTTTCTAACACACACGTCTCTTACCGATGATTTGTGCTTACCTGTCAGTATGTTCAAAGTAGTGTTGATCTGTTCCTAGTATTCTCCTTTCAGCGGTGAAGATATTCTGCAGTTGTCTGTTTCCATATGATTTGTTTTCATAATAAAACAAACAGAAAAAAATGTACCCGACTTGAAATGACCGATCACAGCATTACGGAAAGCTTACAAACATCAAAAGTTTTCTGACTTCTATGCCTCAAGTACTTGCAATATATGTGATTATAGGGCCAGAAAAGTTGCTTGACGGTACTTGATTAGTATAAAGCTTGGTGGCATTTGTCATGCTGCTAAGATTTAAAGCAAAGTCATAATTTCACTGTTTGACACTAAAATAACAAGCTGACAGTTCACTCCCATACAAAGGACCACCGAGGGGTGCTAAAATGGTGATTTTTGCTAATGTAATTGCATTTATTTAAATAGTTTCATTGTATCAAAATTGATGAAATTTTGGATTTCTGATCCATTTTTAATGCAGATTACGAATATGCATTTACCTCAATATCCTTAGAGAACCCAAATGATAACTGTGGAAGTGCTTTATAGAACACTATGTTGAGAGCAGGCAAAAGCTCGTGTTGAAGCATCAAAGTCAGACATGGAGAGTTTTGTAGCTTTTTAGAAACTGATTAGAAATTATTTTATTTTCATTTCACTGTCCTATGCTGGAAACTTTAGTCGGCAGTGTGTTTGGAAAAAAAAACCCTAATAGCCAGAAATAGTTGATTTAGTTTTTGATGTACCTGAATGTCTAAAATGATCCAAAATATGACATTCTTAGGACATTTCGAAACATATTCCAGATAAAAAAGATGTAAATATTCCATGTTAATGTAACTAGAAAAAAAACTGAAATAAGACTGGTAAAAAACATACTTAGCGTATTTAGTAATCATTCCAAACACATATGTAACAGATTGTCAACGAAATTTAAATACAACTTTAGAAAAACATATTTGGCTACTGCCGATTGGCTTTCTGGTGTATTGTTTGCATCTATTAAATGTGAAAAATGTCGTTTCTCGTTGTTCAAACATGGAAATCTAAGAATTCCAAACCAAGTTTAACAGTGGTTCCCTCAAAATGGATTTATATGGGGGTTTATAAAATTCAAAGAATAATTTTTCACTAGATAACTTATGGATGCTGTTACAAAACATTTGCAGGCTATGCAAAATCTTTGTAATGGTTGATTATGTCTAACCTGGCAAACGAAATGTACCACATTATTTAATACACAAAGACTTTTATTTGTTTCGATGAAACATATTTGACCATACTTCTGGTTTGTTCACTTAAACATAAAATACTTGATTCGTGATATTTGTCAAACAAAATATGTAATCAAAATTTCATGCTTTTACAAACGTGTTTACGAATGCATGAGTGATGCCAATTTAAAACAAACAAATTTACAATCCAAATTGATTCGTGCGCTTATGTTTTCTATTGCACTTATCACACATTAGTATGACTCAATTGTTAAAATAGTACTGTTGTAGTACTTTATACGACAAACTAAATATCATACCATTTGAAATTATGTTTTGAGTGTTACTTGGGAGTAGCTATTCGTGAAACGCTGTGGGCCATCTATGTCAAGCGCGTCATACTAAGGAGTATAAACAGAGAGAACCCCGCTCAAATTCCTACTCCTAGACAAAACACAAACTCCTGCTGCAGTTAACAAATAAGATAATAAGATTTATTATATAACACCACGTAGTCCTACGTCACCATTGCGTACAACCCCATAGGGCTGTCCCTTGTAGTTTTTCATCAAAAAGTAACTAAAGTCACATTTTTACGACCAATTTTGAGAGTGAAGAATTTGATTGATGACAGCTTGATTTGATAACAAATTTGTGTTAGAAAGATTGATTTTAAATCCGGGTGTATAGTCAGATAAGAAGAGTTGTTAATTAACTAGTTAACTATTCAATCAATCATATCATTCGACCAGTTTAAAATTACCTTTCCTACCACTCGAACATGGACCAATACTTTTAGATTTTTTCCTTCTAGAACTTCGAGAAAAGACAGCTTTATTTGCGATAGGCACTGAAATCACTGGTAGAAAAATGTCCAAAACTGCTCGACTACATGTTCAATCGGGTTCTTTAGGCCGTTCGCAATGCTGAGTTTCAAAGTTGTTTTGAACGACTCGACAATTCTATAATTTGAAACTGTCAAAAATAAAACTGCAACACGATCAGTGCAACGCACAGTTCCAAAAGATGTTTGTAATCATCAAGTTCCATAAACTTTACTGTTCTCTATGAAGTTCATAGAGTTTTTTTGTGAAGCTCTTCGAAACATCTTAAAAATACATCCAAAGAAATTTGAAACAGAGTTCCATTCGTGTTTCAAACTCGCTCCGAAATAAAACAGAATAGTCGAGCAGTTGAAAATCTGGTGCAAAATAGTACTCGAATAATGCAACTGCAACTCAGCATTGCGAGAGGTGCGTTTCTGTTCTAGTTTCAAATTGAAACAATCCTTATAAAATACAATAGCATTGTGAACGGCCTTAGGCTGTGTTCGATTTGGCAAACTTTCACTTAAATTTTACTCTTTGATAAAAAAAAATTAAAATGTTCAAAAATCCCTCCGTTGTTGATCGGTAGAATTTCGAGAAGGTGTTTGTCAAAACTAATTCCTTGTCGGTCACAATAAAATCTGGTGGAATAGGAGAGCTATTTGAAAAATTTTCATCTGCAAAATTTAAGTGAAAATACATCAAATGGAGCACAACCTAATGGGTGTTAAGGTAATTGCATATTCTTAATCTGCATTACAAATAAAACCGATACCCTAAATGTCATTAATTTTGAATCACTGAAACTATTTTAATTAAGTACAATTACATTAGCAAAAATCACCATCTTAGCGCCCCTCGGTGGTAGTTTATACGGGAGCAAGCTATCAATTTGTTAGTTTGGTGTCAAAAAGCGATGTGATTATTTTGCTGTCTGAAAAATGTCAGAACTTTCTCTAGCCAATAAAGCTTCATATTGGTATTAGTATAGCATTTCCTCTCAACTCTGAAATCGTAAACTTCACGTATGCAGTAACAAATACTTTGATTGAATGTGTCACTGACGACATGTAAAATCTGATTTTCAAGTGTCTATCTGTACGAGAAAAGCAGAGAAGAGGACTTTTTGGTAAAAGGACACCTTATAGTAAGCATGGTTTTCGATAGACCATTTAATAAAAATCACATCTATCATTAAAAATACGAATGCTTGTGTCCCTCAATGACAGGCAATTTTTCATACCAGATGCCAGTAGAAAAACCGTAGTCCATTTTTCTCCCCCAAGAGGTGTGATAAATCAAGCTTCTATATCGAAATCAGTCCCAAACAGCAAAGCCAGCCTCTCGGCAAATAAGGCAACCGGATTGGTTCCATTTCAACCTGTCCTCTTAGCATATGTAAACCGTCACGTTATCGTTCTAATTCCACACATGATGCTGATTTCACTTGGGTACAGTCATGAAAAGAGCCAGATCATCATTCATCCACTACGAATTCAACTCCCACGTTAAACTGTCAAAACCCAGTCGTCGTCGCCGTCGCCATCGCCGTCGCCATCGCCATCGCCATCGTGCACTTGCTCCATATGACTCCAACTTTCCGTTTTTTCTCATATAGTTATGCTAAAGCAGTGTTTTCATCGCGTGTCACGCACGCAATAACTGCGTTTGATTTCTCTAATCCGATTTCACCGTCAAAAAAAAAAACCTGTCCAATTTCCTTCACGTCTACCTACTTCAAACGGCTTGCACTTACAGCCATGCATCGTGGCAGAAAGGAAAAGTGATGGATGGACCCCCTGAGGATACGCCATGTAAATACGCTGAGAAAGACACGGTGCGCGTTGGATTTGAATCCGTGTAAACAAGGTTTGAAAAATCTAAGCTCTCGCCAGTGCATTCCAGCTTCAAGCTGAGCGAAAAATTATCATATTTCCGCGGCTGATCATTTGATCAGGCTCATAACTTAATTACGAAGGTGGTGGAGTCTATTAGATTGCACCGCGCTGCCACAGGAGGATCATATTTCATTCCAGTCTGCTACAAGCAACCAGTCAGTGGGTGCGCTAAATCCTAGCTTTTCAAAACGACAAGCATCGAATGTTAATTAGAACCACGCAAACAGAGAAATCACTAACCAACTCCCTCCCTGTTTCTTCTTTTCTGTACCTTTTTCAGGTTACCAAGGACTGCGGTGCACCGTGCAATTCGATGTTTTTCTCGGAGAACGAGCGAACCGTGCTCAAGTACTGGGTCGGTTCCTGGGCTGCGGTTTGCGTCGCCAGCTGTCTCTTTACGGTGAGTAACTCGAACGAAATTTTACCTGAGCAAAAACACATAAAAAAAAACAGAACAAATTCCTAATCATTAGTAACGCAAAACAACGCTACGTTTAGCCAATTCAAATGGTCAGCAAGCGTGAGTGCCTAGTACATGGGAGATTTGTTCCGTTTGGTTCGGTAAGATGTATGACTTCCGCTTGCTTGGAACCGAGCCAGAAACACAGCATGCAGAATTTAAAATAATCACGGCGAAAAGAGCGGGAAATTAAACGAGAAGCTCACGTTTCCTATGGCCAAGTTAGTCTGTTTTCTTATATATATGGGCGAGCTGCTGCTGCTGCTGTTGGTGGTTGGTCGCGAAATCGGACCCAGCGATAGCTGGACTCGCGTGAGCTTCTAATTAGCGCGCGCGCGGTGAAATTAATTCACATCCGCTCGACTAATTAACTCTAAATTGCGAACTTTTGAATGAGTTTTTGTGAAGGAGGTTTATTAATGCTGGTGGTGAGCGTGGGCTTCCGAAATCAAGAACAAACGGATCTGGCTTCGTTGTGGAAGATAATTTAATGAATCGTTGAAACATTAGCATGGAGTCAACAAGCTTCAAAGTGAACCAATTATTTTGGGACGGACTTGTGTAGATTTAAATGTAGATACAGTGCCTTCCCGTTTTCGGCGACATGGCTTCAATTATATGTTCGAAATTTTAAAACGTTAAACAGTTTAAGTTTGAAATCTTCATGTCCTTCGGTACGAAAGTGACTCCGTTGGCTTCGTACCACTCCAGGACAACATTTGAATGGTGGCACGAAGCTAGACCCAGCCATAAGATTGTAGGGCCCACGTGTTACTTCAACAGAGGAAGCAGACGCTTCTGTAGACACTCCTTGAGGTAGATCTCCCCGTTTACAGTCCCGGTAGTCACGAACGGCGCACTCCGTTTTCCACATGAGCAGATCGCTTGCCAAATCATGTATTTATTGGCAAACTTTGAAAGTTTCTGCTTCCTTACAACCTCCGGAACACCAAACTTTTGCTGGCTGGTGATGAATAGTAGCTCCTGAAGACAATGAGGCTTCGTCAACATCTGGGTGTACAGTTTCCGGGCCCGTGACTTTCCCACCGTATTTTGCCGTTCGTCACGATTTGGAGTCTTCTGCACTTTGTACGTATGCAGTCCCTCCCGGTCCTTGGCTCTCTGAACGAAAGACTTGGACAGATTCAACTTTTTGGCCACATCCCTAATCGAAGCATTGGGATTCCGTTTAATCGCTTTCACGACACGCTTGTGATCCTGATCACTTATAGAACATCCATTCTGACGAAGACTCACCGTACGATTCTGAGTTGATTTCCGATGTCCCGCTGAGAGAGTTGAGGATTTTCAAGGTGCTTGCGTAAACTCAATTCGCGACGTTTCTTTTTGGGTGACGCAAATTTTTTACAATTTACGAAAAACTGACAGCGATAAAAAAAATATAGTGTAATACACTCAAAACTACTTTACCCAAATTTTCAAGAGAAAATACCCAATGGGTAATTTTCTACAGCATTTTTTCCGCGATGCAATTTGATGTGGAACACACTTTATTTCCCTTGAAATCTTTAAATTTACCTGTATTTCTCTGGACTTCCATATAAAGTTCCCTCAATTTCCCTAACGATGGATCATGCTCGAAGTTCTCGATTTTTTTTTCTGAATTTCTAGGATCGTCCTGTAGTTTTACCAAATTTCCATGAAGTTCTAGAAACTTCTTTAAATTTGTTTTAATTAGGTGCAATAAAGGTTGAACACGAAAAACTCCGGACACGGAAATATTGTTTGGGTTTGAAAATGCGCCTTATTTTTCATAGTTCAATGTAACAGCTATATATTACAAGGTATAATGCTTATTGTAAGACCATTTTTTCAGTATTTCTTCTAAAGGTCCGTTTAGACTATCTGATTTTGTCTGATTTTGACCGCCGCCATAATGAAACATCTGCTTGATTTTACTTTCGACACACTTTCTCGAACCCCCCTGTTTGCTGGTGTTTACACTGCTTGAACATGTCAAAAGAACTGTCAATTTAGATTACAAACTGTATTAGGAATCAAAAGTAAATACTTTCATAATGAATAACTGGGAAAATGCTCTGGTTTCGGCAGGTGTATTTGCTTTTATTATTTTAATTAAAATGAGAAGGAGAAAGTGAACTTCATGGAGTAGGAAATGGTTGCTCAGGAGGAACACCATCAGGAATCTGGCTCATCTCGTCCTTCAAGAACTGCGATACGAAGACGAAAAAAGATTTCAAACATTTTCCAGGATGTCGATACCAACATTTGACAAGCAAGTGGAAAGAGTTCTCTATAGATCTACATGATTCCTTGAGTTCTGAAAATGTCTGTTATGAACTCAATTCTGCATATTTCTCTGAAGACCTTCGGACGTTCCGGAATTTTTTTTCTGTTCTTTGGTAAAATATCTTTAAAGTTCAACAAACTTTCCTAAAGATCTGCAAATTTCTCGGTAGTTCTGCAGATTTCTTTGAAGTTATGTGTGTTCTTCAGAGGTTCTGCAAATTTCTCTAGAAATCTACAAAGTTCCTGAATCCCTGCAGATTTAGGATCCTTAAAGATCAACAAATATCTCTGATGTTCAACAAATTTCAATAATCTTCGGACTTCTCGAAAGATCAGCGAACTTCCCAGATGTTCTGTAAATTTCTCTCAGAATCAAAGAACGTCAATAAAATTCTGAAAATTTATTTAAACATCTGCAGATTTTTCAATAGATCTACGATCTACCCTCTGAACAATTATGAAATTTCTAAAATTTCTTTAAAATTCTGTAAAGTTTTCTGAAGTACTGTATTTCTCCTCTGAAGATCCAAAAACTGCCCTGAAGTTCAATGAATTTCTCAGTAGATCTCTGAACTTCTCTAAAGTTCTGTAAATTTCTTTGTAGATTGTTGAACTCCCATAAAGTTTAGCAGATTTATCTAAAATTCTTTGAAATTTCCTTCTTGAAAATGTTTGAATTACCCTGAAGTTTCAAAAATTGCTCTGACGATTCACGAATTTCTCCGAAGTTGTGTAAATACTTCTAAAGATCGGAAAACTTTCCTGAAGTTCTGTGAGTTTTGCTGAAGTTTTGCAATTTTGTCTTAAAGTGTAGAAACTTTCTGAAGTTCTACAGACTTTTCTTAAGGTCTACGGACTTCTCTGAAATTCTTCTGACCAATCTATTTCCAACTTTCAAGGAGTTCTGCAAAATCTTGAACTTCCGTACTTCACTGAGATTTGCTTTTAAAATTGAAGTACTTTCTGAAATTTTACGAATTTATCTGAAGATCTCACATTTTTTTCTGAAACTGTGAAGCCTCTGAACCTCTGAATGTCTCTGAAGATCTGCAAAATTCCTTGCAGTTCTGCAGATTTCTCTGAATATCTACTCTTCTGATGTTCTGCAAATATATTTAAAGTTCTGAAAAGTTGTCTGAAGCTCCGTTGTTCTATTCTCAAGATCTACGAATTACCTTGAGGTTCAATTAATTTCTCAGTAGATCTGCAAACTTAGTTTTATAAATCCCTCTGTACGCTGTCGGGCTTCCCTGAAAATCTGAAAATTTCCCTAAAGATCTTCTAAATTACCTAAAGTTCTCAAAATTTATCTGAAACTATTTGAGCTTCCTTGAAGTTTTGGATGTCTCTATCAATCCAGTTTTCTATTATTAAAAGCCAAATAGTTTGAAGTGTGATTACCGGTAAATATGCTTGCATTTTATGCTTTTACATTGGAATTGTACAGTATTTAAATGATATGCAATATTGCAATTGACATGTGCAAAATGGATGGCGATTAAGGTTTGCATCCCAGGGAACAATATCCAGGGAAATGAGATTTCCCGGGACTACCGCACCTCGGGAATATAAATTTTGATCCCTGCATTTCCCGGGAAATTTATATAATTGTAAAAAGTGACGAACCAGCCAGTGGTTGAAAGTCACTCTAATAAAGAAAAAATATAAATATAATTGTAGAATTGCTTTCATTTCATTTGGCTACAGTTTCCGTTCTCTTTTGTCATTCATAATTTTAATAAATTGTCATTTTGAACTATCTTCAGCAGAGATCTCCGAAAAATTTACTGTGAGTGCGATAAAACGAACTACATTATATATCCGCTGACGTCATCAGACAGTATGATTGCACTTACATTTGACCATGCTGCCTGAAAACATACCGTCATGATAAGATGATGTTGATTCCTATCTGTCAAATGATTCCATCATTCATTAGATGAGAAAAAAGACTCCATTCATAAATCTATTTCCATAAACGGGGGAAATACAAGTATTTGTTTTTGCGTTGTAAAAATTAAGTGGAAAACCTCGCTACCCATCTCTGACTTTAAGTGTAAAAATTCATTGGTGTTGATTCAAATGTTAAGATTCACCTACTCTTTGCATATTTATAGTTAACTATGATCCTGATCTATCAATTTCTTTAAAGAAAAACAAATTTCAACAACTGAGTGAAAAGTTAATAACAAATGAGTAATTGATGTGTACGACTGTGTATGCCAAGCATGTGCACAAATGGCCGCTATTTTGTTTATTCGGCATGAATCTCAGAAATTCAAAGGATTTCGCGTGCAAAATTATAATCACTTTTTGCTGCATATATGTCATTAGAATTTCATGCACGGAAACTTTGTAGTTTCTGAGATGTGTGAAGCGAAAAATTAGAAGTGGAAGGACAAAATAAACAAAATAGCGGCCGTCTGTGGATTCCATAATATTTCACCTTAAAACAATAATTATATTACACCAAGTATAACACAGTAACAACAAATTTAACAATTCAAAAATAAAAACAAAATGACAAGTAAAGAAAAACAATTGAAATTAACCGAAAAAAAAACTCACTCCGAATTAGAGAAGATATTTTCTTGTTTGTCTGTTTCGTAAGTTTCTTCCATCTCTAATTTTCCCAGCCGATTTTTACGTTCTGGATGAGGTCCTCTGGG